CAGTGTGGCTCTGCTAGGGCTGGGCAGCAGCCAGGGGTTTTTTGAAAGAGCTGTGAAAAAAGCAGGAATAGCTTCCAAGAAGCTGGATTTTCACCTGGTCTGAGTCCTTCCTGGTGGATGGAAAAAACAAGTCACCATCTGGCTGCATTTTTGGGGCCTTGCCCAAAATGCCTCCCTGGCCCTGTGTGTGTCTGAGGGCAGGGACCCACTGTGCTGCTGCCCACCTGTACCCTGTTGCTGAGTCAGCACTTGGCAAGCCACAGTGTCCCTGGTGAGCCTGGGAGCATGCACAGGTGGGAACAAGGATGAGGATGGGAATGGGAATGAGACTGAGGATTGGGATTGGAATGGGAATGAGGACTAGGATGAGTCTTTTTAGCAGGGCCTGTTGCAACAGGACAAGGGGTGATGGTTTTAAATTAAAAGAGGAGACATTAATATTAGACATAAGGAAGAGGTTCTTTTACAGTGAGAGTGGGGAGGCCCTGGCACAGGTTTCCCAGAGAAGCTGTGGAAAGTGGAAGCTGTGGAAGCCCTGGAAGTGTTCAAGGCCAGGTTGGACAGGGCTTGGAGCAACCTGGGATAATGGAAGGAGTCCCTGCCTGTGGCAGGAGGAAGGGAACTGAATGGTCTTTAAGGCCACTTCCAACCCAACACATTCTGTAAGGATGAGGATGGGACAGAGATGCTCTCCTGCTCGAACCAGATGGGATGCTTTCAGACATATCACTCTTGCACAAGCCCAGCTGTGTTGCCCAGGCTCCTCTGTCCCTCACCCCACCTGCCCAGTTACTCCTCCTCCTCCTCTCCTGTGGGTCCAGAGACCCACAGGATTGGAGGGAGCTGGGATGGGAACAGCCTGAGACAACCAAGTCCTGGGTGTCGCAGTGTGGTCCTGGTGGATGTGGCTGTGGCACATTCCATGGGCACAGAGGGGCAACTCCCCGGCACCAGGAAGGGGATGGTGCTCTGGGTGAGGCTACTTCTTCCAGCCACTGCCCTTTGGGTGCCTGACTCCAATCATCTTCTGCATTCTCCAGCAGTACCACCCACTTGCCTACAAACCCCTCCCATGGTGCAGCATCACCCACCCCCAGCCAGGCTGAGCTCCTCTGGAGTGCTTGGAGGAGCTGCCTGGCCACCATTATCTCCAGCCTCTCCCACCATGGCTCCCCCCTGCTGAAGGGACTCAGCCAATCCCTGCCTGCTGTTGGAATTTTCTATAGAAAATAAATAGTCCTGCAGCAGGAGAGGATTTTATCCTCATTTTTATTATTCCCAGCTCTCCGAGTCCCCACCTTGGCCCTGCCTAATCCAATACAGCTGTTTCCTGTGCTCCACAACAGCCCTGACGCTCCAGCCCATTTATTTAAATAGGTAAGATCCGGATTTCCAGAGCAAAACAAACAGTGCTGGATGACTGAACGGCTCCAGCCTGAACCCCCTGTGCCCCACCAGTGCCTCCAAGCCTTCAATCCTCTTCTGTCCCCCTGGGTTCCCCTCTGCCACCGTGGCAGGACAGGGACGGCTGGAGAAGGCACTTGTGGAGGTGCTGATGGTGGCCAGTTTGATTCCTTTATTCCAGTGCTGGGAGAGGGCCAAGGGAAATTGTCCAGTTGTCCCAAAAGAGCACATTTCTCTGACTGGAATCTTTAAGGCTTTTGCCTGGGAAACCAGCGGATCAGACCTCTCCTTTCCATCAGTGGGATGTTAAGCCCCTGTGCCCCTCCACAGCTCTGTAAACCCTGGTGCATGTGTACCAGGGGAGAAAATTCCCCTTGGTCAATCTGTCTGGGATTAGTTAGAAGGATAAATAATAAATGTGAGAAAGGCAAGTCACCAGGATGTTTGGGTTCAGCAGGGGAGGCAGGCTGGGAACATCAAGGGTGTTAAGATGGACTCTCGAGTTTTGCCGGGCTGAGCTTTATGGCTGTTTTGCAGCATTAGATGGAATTTGGGTTGCTGCGGTTATGGAAAAGAATTAACAACAGGTGCTAATTGCTTCCTTATATTAGGAAGAAGTTCTTCCCTGTGAGGGTGGTGAGGCCCTGGCAGAGGTTGCCCAGAGAAACTGTGACTGCCTCATCCCTGGAATTGTTCAAGGGCAGGTTGGACAGGGCTTGGGATAGTGGAAGGTGTCCCTGCCCATAGCAGGGGGTGGAACTGGATGATCTTAAAGTTCCCTTCCAACTCAAACCAGTCTGTGATTCTGTGGTTCTATGATTTGAGCATCCAGAAAGCAGCCTGGAACACCGGAGCTCTGTGGGTTACCTCACTGGCACTCATGGAGTGCATGGGGCAAACTCCCGGCCCTTCTAACCATCCTTGTGTGGAACACATCAGCCAGCACAGACAGCACAGGTGGGTACTGCTCAGGCATGGACTGGGGCAGACCTGCCAGGGCTCCCCTTACCCCAGCACCCCACCCGCACCACAGGTTTGAGCTTGTGACGCTCACTGGGGACAGCCCCGTGTGCCAGGAGCTGTGGTGACTCTGCGCCTCAGCCCTCCTTTGGTCCTGAGCCCCCTGGCCCACGAGTGTCTCCATTCCCATGACTCATCCCTTTGGCTCTCTGAGGAAAAGCCGTTTGCTGGTGTGAAAACTCTTTAGTGTTAATTCCTGGCTGATTGGGTGCAGTTCTGTGCCGTGGCGATGCTGACGTGTCCTGACGCCACACGGCCTGTCCCGGGCGCGCTCACTGATGGCCCCATCGCTGCTCCCAGCAGTGGCACTGCCTGGCAGGAGCCCAGCCCAGGCCACGGCCCTTCCCCATGGGAATGCCACTGGGATGCCATCTGTGGGTGTATGTTTCCCAGTGACAGCTTGGGGCAGAGCTTGCCCCAGGTGCCGCCAACACCAGTGGCACATGACTGCCGTGGGGCAGTGCTTGGCCAGGCCTCCTGTAGGAGTCCCAGAGTTAGAATGCTTCACATGACCCTGTTGCTTCCTTTTCCTTTTCCTTTTCCTTTTCCTTTTCCTTTTCCTTTTCCTTTTCCTTTTCCTTTTCCTTTTCCTTTTCCTTTTCCTTTTCCTTTTCCTTTTCCTTTTCCTTTTTTCCCCTTGTTATTCTTTTTCTCTCTCTTCCTAATTTTCTTTCTATTTGTCTCTTTCTCTCTCTTCTTAATTTTCTTTCTATTTTTCTATTTCTCTCGTTCTCCTGCTCTCCTGGCTATTCCCATTACCCAACTGTACTCCCTCTGCAGTTCACACCCAACAGGCACTTTGTTCCCTGCTGCTTTACAAAGACTCACTGCCCTTCGACAGAGGTGCCCCCGTGCCCTGACACCCTGACCTGTGTGGTGACACAGGTCACCTTTATACCAGAACCCAGAAATAAACCGTGGCTGGACCATGAGCTGCTGGTTGTTTGCCAGTATGACAGTAAGCTTCCCTCTCTCCTGGGCTGGAGGCTGGGCAGGGCGGCTGGGATGGTTCCTTTGGGAACCAGCTTGTCACCCACAGTCAGGAATGCCAGGGCGCAGGGACATCTGCCCGCCGGGACACGTGGCCCCAGCCCGGCGGGCTGGCTCTGCGTGGGCACGAGTTCACAGACGTGAGCCGAGTTTGAGCTGATGGGAGGGAGAGCAGGCACCTGAAAGCAGCCAAATTTTGGGGGCACTGAGCAGTTTGCTGGTGACTGCAGAGGTGGTAGAGGTGACCGGAGCTCACCCACCACCCCTCTCCCAAGGGCAGGGGCCATTTGGTCGCGGCAGCCTCGGGCTCAGGCGGTGCCGGCGCGGTGCGGGGAGGGGGCGGCGAGAGGGGCCTGGTTCGCACCTCGGCGGGAGATGAAAGAGCCGCTGGGCCGGGAGATGAAAGCGCCGGCGGGGCCGCGGCGAGCGAGGACGGAGGTGAGGGGAAGCCCCGAGAGTTGTTTTTCTTCTCATCTCTGCGGCGCAGCGGGACAGCGGCAGCCAGTGCCAGGCTTTCCCAGGGCCAGAGCAGAGCCGGACCCCGCAGCGCCGGGGTCCCCTCCCGGTTCCAGACCGAGATGCCGAAGCAGCGGCAGAACCCACTGAGCATCCGTCAGGATGTTGCATGGAGGGAGGGAGGCTCTGGGGCTGTTTGTTGAAGGAGGAGTGTAGAGGGGATAATAATCTCTCCTTTAATAATTTTATCATGGCGAGTTAATAACCTCTCCTTTGCCTGAGACGGAAGCTGTGAGAGCAGGAATGCCAGGGGCAGTCAAAGTCAGCCTGAGCCAAGCAGGTGTTCCCTGAGCTGCTGAGGATGTTCTGCTCCAGAGGTCCCTGTAACCTCCTGCACTGGAGTGGTGTGTCCCCAGTGGCTCCTGCAGAGCAGTGACAGCAGAGGCTGGCGCTCTGGCAGACAGGCACTCACACTTTCTTTAGGACTTGGAGGTTTGGATTTTGATGTGCCTTGGGCTTTGAGATTGAGTCTCCAAGACCAATGTCAAGCTGCGTCTCCAAAAAATTTCTCCCCGGGGTCCATTTTTTATTTCTGTGTATCATTTTTGGATACGAGAAGGGCCTGGGCTGTTTGAAGTGCCTCAGCCTTGCAGGTATGAATGAAATGGGGCTGAGCAGGCACAGATCCCACCCAGCTGCTCCCTTCGGCTCTCTCCCAGGGTTAACCCCGAGTCTGCTCACCCCAGCAGCTCAAGCGGAGCTCAAAAAGTTTTATCCTCCAGCCCTGGCCCTGTGTGTCTCAGAGCTCTGCCAGGCTGCAGGACCTTCTGGTGACCAGGGTCCCTGACTGGCTATTACCGCAAGGGCAGTGAGGAACAGGGCAGTGACCCCTGATATGGCAGGTGAGGACCAGAAAGGCTTCAGGGCCCACGGGGAGTTGATGAGGATGCTGATGGAGCCAGAGAGGTCTCCAGCTTGGCTTCTGCATGACCCAGACTGCATGTGCTCATCCCTGCATGGACTGACCTGAAAAATTGTGGAAATCACTTGTTTCAGCTTAAAATGTTGTGTTTGCATTTAATTTTCATTGCCTCAGGGTGGCTTGGCTGGACCTCTTTGATTGGTTTCAGGCAGACCTCAGGTGGGGAAGCAGAAAATCTGAAGCCACCTAAACCACTCTCCATTTGTGTCTCCTGGCTGCTCTCCCAGCAGGTCCGGGGCTGCCGCCCGCTCTGGGGACCGCCCTGTGCACCTCTCACCCTGCACACACCGGGCACCTGGGGCTGGGGAGCTGCTCCAGGGAGCTGGGCTGGAATGAAGGCACCGGACAAACCCTCCCAGTTTCTCTCTCTCAGCTGCAACAACTCTGACAGTGTTCTGCCTGCTCCTCCCTGGAAAACACCAAGCCTTTCAGGACCTGTGAGGTTCAATTGGCATTGGGAAGTCTGGGGACAATGGTCTGAGGGACAAAGGTCCCGACTCAGCTCTGTGCCTCCCCTCTGCACCAGCTCTCCCTCCTCCTGCCTCATCCACCCCAAATGGTGGGTAAGGATTGCTTTTCACCTTGTCCGAAGCTTCACACCTGTGGCCTTGTCTCGATTCCTGACTCGAAGGTGCTTCTGAACCACACACAGGCAGCGACAGCTCACCCACGTGTTCATCTCCATCACATGGACATCTGTGAGTGCAGGGCAGGCTCTGCCCTCGCTTCTCAAGCACCACAGCACCTGTGTCAGGTGGGGAACTAAACCTGCCCAGGGTTTCCCAGGACACTAGGAGTGAACCAAGAGTTTTTGAAATCAGCTCAGAATTGCACTGGGACAGAGCCTGCATTATCATACCTTTGCTTCCTCCTGAATTCCAGTCCTCTGACACGATTAGATCAAACCTGATGACCCAAATCTGACTGCAGCAACTGAGAGGAGAAATGACCCTCCAAAAAGAGCAGCCTGGCCACCCTGGACCGCTGCACCCATCCACAGAGGGGCAGCCAGGCAGCACCAAAACCAGTCACCAGGTTTAATTCAATTACTTTGCAGAACAGCACCGGTGGCACCTCTACAGCATCCACAGCAGTGGGACAGCCTGTGCAAAACAGCTGAGTGGGCTGGGGCCAGGAGCCAATAAACACGTGAGCCATGAGAAACCCACTTGCCTCTCTGCAACGGGACCTGCCGATGGAGCTGGGGGAGCACATGGGCACCCCATTCATGGGAGTTGGCCAGCAGCTAGTTGGGAGTCCTGGCAAAGTCTCCCAGCCCTTCGAGACAGGCAGGTTGTGGGGTCAGGGAGGGAGCTGCCTTCGGAGCCAAATGCAGGTAGAGGCAGGCATGGAAGGAAGCAATAGGGAGTAGGGAGAAAGGAAAAAACTGGGCACACATCCCTCCTTCCACCTGCTTTCCTCATTAGGAGCGTGGAGCTGGTTGAGGCTCCAAGGCAACATGTGAATCTGGAATCTGTGGGGTCTTGCAAGGATGTGTCCCCAGTTTTGGGACACCTGATGTGGCTTTGGGCACCTCTCAAGCCCACTCCCCCAAGTTGCCAAGGGTCTCCAAACAATAATGGGGCAGAGCAGGTATTGTTAATGTGAAGAAACCAGGAAAACTTTTCATTTCAAGACCTCTCCTGTGGCCCCTTCTTTATCTGAGTGTCAAGCAGCTGCGATGGGCAGAAGCTCAAGCTGCTGCCCCAGACAGGTCTCATTTAATAAAAAACCTGAGTGAAGAGGATGCTACTCCAACTGTTCCTCTTCTGATACAATGTCTGCCAATGTCTGGGGCAGGGAGTCACGGTCCCAGATGATTCATGTCCCACCCCTGCTGCTGCCATGTTCCCAGGGAGGCCTGTGCTGCTGTGCTCAGTGCTCATCTGGCCGCTCTGGATGCTGACCTGGGGCTTGGCTGTTGTGCAGATGGGCTTTTCCGCGGCCTGTGATGTTTTCCCAGTCTCGCTTCCCACCTTTCAGAATAGTCTGAAGGAGAGTGGGAGTTTCGGATGTTGCAAATCCCAACCTGCTTTGGTCAGTGGTGAGAGAAGAACCAACCTGAGCCCTGCAAACTGCTCAAGGGGAGCCGGGGGGGAGCTGATGAGGGTCTGTCAGCCTGGGGAACAGTCAGTCTGTCTGTCCAGGGAACAGCCAGGACAGCGTGCCTTCATGGAGACAGGCTCCCTGCAGCATAAACGCCAGGGGAGGGAGTCCCCCTTTCACCCCCACCTACAGCCCCATCCCCCCCTCTGCAAGGAGGGGCAGGCAAGGGCCACCTCAACCATCTCGGGGGCTGAAAGAAGGACCCCTCACCCCGGGGATGGTTCTCCAGCTCCATCCCCCCAGGACTGCGTGCCCGGCTGACCCCCCACTCACAGAGCCCCTTCCACCCCCAGCGCACACCCCAGGACTGGCGGGGTCTGGGAGCCGGCGGGGAGGGCTGGCCCCGGAGCCCCCCTAAGTGCACTGGGGTTGGGTTTTTCCCACTCCTGGGAACCAAGCGTCGGATTTTGTTGACGAACAGAGCGTAGCTTTCATGTGAAAAGGTTAGTACAGTATGTTAGTTCCTAATGAGGGGATAATAGAGTCTGATTCTCACACTCCGGAGACTGCGAGGTGACAGCAGCACGGGAGAAGGGTATTTAACACCTTCGCCTTGGGAACCTTTTCCCTTCCCAGCCAGAGTCCCCCTGCCTTGCCAAGAGCAGGGAGGAGGAGGAGGAAAAGGAGGAGGAGCGCGGTGCAACGCCTTTGTCCTCGCTTCCCTTTCGCACCACGATCCCAATCCTATCGGCACACGCGTCCCCGCAGCCGGCAGAAGAGCCTGGGAAACAGTCGGACAATAATTCAGAACCTGGCTCCCTGTCGCTGGCTCACGGTGTCACAGTGTCCCTAGCTACAGGCACCGCGGGGAGGCTGCGGGTCGTGGTGCCTGGTGGGGACAGGGCCCCCGGGCGGGTGTGTGGGGCTGTGGGGATGAGCCCCCCGGATGGCGGGTGCCCTCAGTCTGCGTCCCCGTGGCTGTCACCTCCCTCGCCGTGTCTGTGCCAGGGGCTCACGGTGCCACCTGGGGCATCCTCAGTGGAAGCCTGGGCAGTGAAGCACAGCCCAGGTGCTGCATGGGGAGGATTTAAGGGCCCTGCTGCCTGCCTTACTTTTCCTAGAAAAGTCAAGATTTCTTCCTAAATCCAGCCTCAGACCCGCCATCCCACTGCAGTGAAGCAGGAGGACAAACCCTGTGAGTTCATGCCACCTGCAGGTGGCTGTGACCCCTCCAGGGCTGCCAGGCATCTACAGCCACATGCCATCCCGGGCTGGGGGGTCACATATAGGCTGGTGTTGCTGTTTTCTTAGGGGTCACAGCATCCAGCAAGGGCAGCCCCGACACCAAGGGGAGGGGTCACAGGGTGATTGCCTGCACAGTTGGCAGGAGCTTTGGTGCTGGCAGTGGCTGGAGGCTGGATGAAGCCTCCCCCAGGAGCTGCTGCTGTTTGTCTAACTGGGGGGGGGGGGGGGGGGGAGCTGGATTAAATCCATGGGTTCTGTATGTATTGAGGGAGTTCAATTTAGACTGCCCATGCAAGAGCTGGAATGTCCTCAGAGCAGGAGAGACCTGTTCTGCCAAATTCCACCCCATGGGGTGCCAAATTATAGGTGTCATTGCTTGCCTGTCACTCCACTTCCCACTACTTACTGATCTCAGAAATGGCACATTTTTTAGGTAACCCTTTCCTAGGTGATCTGGTTCTGACACTGAGGTTGCCTGTGGGAAACCAGCAGCTTCCCAGTCCCCAGCACCTCCTGTCCTTGGTGTGTGGCTCCTGCTGGGCCGTGCTCAGGTGGGACAAGGAAGGCTGCAAAGCAGCAGCTCAGGGCCACCATGTCCCCTCCACAAGACTAAGTCAGACACCAGAGCATCAGGGGTGGAATTTTTTGGGAGTATGGTTTGTGCCTGCTAAAAACAAGGTGCTGGGGAATTACTGCAAATAATGGCCAAAAATGTGGAGGGATGGCTCCTGCAGGGCTCACAGGGCTGTGCCAGCTCGGTGTCATCAGACCTATCCTGGGCATCCAGGTGATCTGAGAGGGGATCTCCAAGCCATTGTACCCCAATCTGCTGTCTTACAGGCCTCCCTCATCCCAGCTCTTTTCTTTCTCTTTCATTCTTCAAAGTAGCAGGATGACAATTCCAGTCTCACTAGATTTTCTGACAGCATCACTTGAAGGGTGTGTGCTCTGGTTCCCACTGTGAGAGGAAGCCAGTGGCAGTGCCTCCCTGTCCTCTCCAGTGGGGCACAGTCCCACAGGCTGCCCAGCATGCAGCAAACCCCTCTTGGGGGAGCAGGGCCAGGCTTCAGGCTGCTCACGGGGCTGGGCTGTCCTCTGCCCCACAAAACCCAGAGGGAAACAAAGGTAAAGTCCTGCACCTGGTTTGGGGCAACCCCAAGCACAAATACAGGCTGGATTGAGAAGGGATTGAGAGCAGCCCAGGGGAAAAGGACTTGGGGATGTGGGTGGATGAGAAGCTCAACACATGCTCTGGCCACGTGCGCTGGCATCCCAGAACCGCCCCCCGTGTCCTGGGCTCATCCCACAGTGTGGGGTCAGCAGGTGAGGGGGGGATTCTGGCCCTCTGCTTCTCCCAGGTGAGACCCCACCTGCAGAGCTGCCTCCAGCTCTGAGGTCCCCAACATAAGGACATGGAGCTGCTGGAGCAAGTCCAGAGGAGTCCATGGAGGCTGGAGCACCTTTGCTATGGAGACAGGCTGGGAAAGCTTGGGGTGTTCAGCCTGGAGAAGAAAAGGCTCTGGAGAGACCTTAGAGCCCTTTCCAGTGCCTAAAAGGACTCCAAGAGAGCTGGAGACAGACTTTGGACAAGGGCCTGTCAAGTGACAGTACAAGGGGGAATGACTTCCCACTACCAGAGGGCAGGGTTAGATGGGGTATAGGGAAGGAATTCTTCTGTGAGGGTGGTGAGGCCCTGGCACTGCCAAACTGTGGTCCAGGCGTGGGGGGGAGCAACCAGCAGCCCCAGGGACTGGCTGTGAGAGTCATGAATTTTGGGCAGAATCTGCTTTAGTGAAATAGGAACTCTGAGGTCCCAAACCCCACCAAGTTTGAAGACACGGTGCTCTATGGCTCTGTGAGGCACAACATCAAACCCTTATACAACTTGTTGGAGGGACACTGACCTTTCCTAAAGTGCTGCACATACACATGGGCAAGGCAGAGTCATGGTCTCTCTCCATCAGTGGGCAATTTCTAGGTTAAAAAGCCTGGATTTGGGGCTCATGGAGCAGCTGTTCCCTGGCTTTCCTTCACACTGGGCTGATGCAGGAACAGACACTGTATCCTGCCCCTGCAGGCTGTGTGCCCTGGGCTGCTGCCCCCAGCTCCCATGGTGGGGAGCGGCAGAAGTGCCAGCAGTGGTACTGCCTGGGGTGGACCTGTTTGCAGGGCCCCTTCTCCAGCTGCTCCAGCCTGAACCCCTTCTCAGGAGAGGGGGGCAGCAGTGGACCCTTGCTGGCGTGGAGGGGGTGGATAGTAGTAGGTTGTCCACTCTGGGGTGTGGGTTCACATTATCCCTATGCCCAAGGAGCATCCTTCTGGGTCAACCTGCGCCAGCCCATTCACACCGGAGGGGATGTTTTCCAGCTGAGATGACCCGGGCCTGAGAAGCAGACATTCCCTCGCTTGAGTGTGCTGAAATGTTTAATTAGAGTTTAACAGCAGCCTGGGAAAAAGATGTCTCGTCATATTTCTGGACTGCATTTTGTTGTTGAGCCGCGCGCCCGTACGCGCGGAGCCGGGGCAGACCTGCGGCACAAAGAGCCCTTTATGTGCCTCTCCCCACGGCTCGCCCCGACCCTGAACTTCCCCATTAGCTGCTGGCGCGGTGCCCTCGCGCGGTGCCCGGGAGGGAGCCAGGACTGAGCACACAGCCACGCTGGGGCTTCTGCTCTGCTCCTCAGGTTGAGGCTGTAGGAAAGAGGACAGTGTGAGGTGTCTGGAGGAGAGGACATCCCTCCAGCTGTGCTTGGATGTTTGGGTGAGCCCAAGGTGCCGTGTTCTGGTGCGGCCATAGGGATGCAATGTGACAACCATGAGCATGGCAGGACACCGGGGTTCAGTGGGATGGTACCCGGGGACACAGTGTTGCCTGTGAGGGTCCCTCCCCCAAGTGCTTCTGAAAGTACTGCCCACATAGATCAAAGATTTCGTTTCTCAGATCCCAGCAGGATTCAGACCTCAGTCCCCTTCCTCTGTCCCCACACTGGGAAGGTTTGGGAAGGGAACGGAAAGGAGGGTTTGGGCAGGGCACAGCAGGGAAGGGAAGGTTTGGGAAGGGAAGGTTTGGGAAGGGAAGGTTTGGGAAGGGAAGGTTTGGGAAGGGAGGGGAGGTGAGGGGACGGGAGGGGAGGGGATGGGAGGGTAGGAGGGAGGGAGGGGCGGGGCGGGGGGAGGGAGGGGCGGGGAGGGGAGGGAGGGGAGGGAGGGGAGGGAAGGGAGGGAAGGGAAGGGAAGGGAAGGGAAGGGAAGGGAAGGGAAGGGAAGGCAGGCAGGGAAGGGAAGGGAAGGGAAGGGAAGGGAAGGGAAGGGAAGGGAAGGGAAGGGAAGGGAAGGGAAGGGACGGGAAGGGAAGGGACGGGAAGGGAAGGTACGGGAAGGGAAGGGAAGGGAAGGGAAGGGAAGGGAAGGGAAGGGAAGGGAAGGGAAGGGAAGGGAAGGGAAGGGAAGGGAAGGGAAGGGAAGGGAAGGGAATATGCTCAGCCTTGCCCTGCCCAGCTGGTGGTGGCAGCGAAGTGGCAGTTCAGGATCACCCTGTCGATCACCCCCTGGGCACCTAGTGGGCCCTGGGGAACACAGCTTCCGCCCCAAGGAAGCTGGGGAGGAATGCAAGGAATGGAGCACACACCTTTCTCTCCCGACTTCACCTCCACAAATTGCCCATCAGCATTTTCCACTCACAGGTGTTTTTTCTGCAGGGTGAAATTACAGTTTTGGCTTCACTCACCTGCCCACATCCTGCCCATCAGCAAAAGGGCAAGCCCATGTGTTGTGGGGTAAGATCCCTCTTCCTGTCATCTAACCCAGCTTTGCCTCCTCCAGTTGGGCACTGAAACAGTAGAGAGCAACTCCCTTGGGTCCAGCAGGAGCCTAAAAAAATGCCACATTTGTACATTATTGCCCCTTTTTACCTTTTTTGTGTGTTGACACAAGCATGTGATGCTCTAGATCACTCCCCATCCCCCCTGCTGGGGTGAGGAGCCGTGGAGGTGTTGGGTCCCGCTGTCACACCGCGGTGACCCCACATGTCACCAACACACTGGGCTCACGTTAGCATATCTGGGAGCTCTCAGTCTGGGAACGTGGGGAGTAGGTGCCTGAGGTCTCCTGGGGTTTGTTGTTCTCAGGCACAGCAGCTCTTCCCCCCACTGCTCCTGGGACTTTCCTCTTGTGAGTCCCAGGTTGCAGCTCATGTGGCTTCTTTCTGAGACTGTTGGGGGGAGCTTTTTGGAGAAGTTCTAGAAGAGCTGGTGTTTTCCCTCAGGCTGAGGTGCAGATGGCTGTTCTCAAAGGAGTTGGTGGTCCCTGTGGGGCCTTCTGTGCTGGGAATGCTGCCCTCTATTCCTGCTCCATTTCCCAGGCAGCTTCCCCAGCCCCCTGAGCCCTGTTGGGGCTGGAACCAAGGAAAGAAGTGCTGGGGGTCTGCAAGGATGACAGAGAGCAGCCCTAATGCCACAGTGAGGGACAGTGAGGCTGAGCCATAGCTTCTGCAGAGGGGCAGTGCCCAACTCCAGGCTGGGGGCCTGCATGGGCTGGAGATGTCCATGATGTGTGCTGAACCTGCAAGAGCACCCACCGCTCTGGGGCATGTGTCAGCTCTGCTCGTGTGAGGGAAGGATCTTACACTTTTGGGCTGTGGCTCCAGCACTCTCCCCAGCATCCTGGGGGCTGAACATGGGTTTGGAGAGGCTGGAGTCTGCATTTGGAGGGGCTTTGGAAGCTGCAGGGCTGCCAGCCAGGACATGATCAGGCTTACTCGGCACTGGCAGTGGCTTCTCCTGTCAGGAGTG